TCCCTCCATCTATTTTAGTGCTCATGGCATGCCCGCTGAAGATTCTTTTAATGGGTGGGATATTGGTGTCATATGCGCTTCATTCTAACAGATTTGATCATTCCTATACACAGGAGAAGCCAGGTAGCTCCGTGGGTATCTGGTAGTCCATACCTGAGCACTAACCTCCCGGCTCATCCTTAGCCGTGCAACCGTGTCACTGATCTTGCTCACAATGTGAAGAATATGAAGAGGAATTTCGCTTCCATCCTCCTCAGCTTTTGGCCTTCCTCTCCTCCGACTTCTCACTCCGATCCTGACCCTTCATTACCTCCTTCGCTCCGCTTTTTTGCTCTTGGCTCTTCGCCCTTGGTTTTTTTTGTGGCGCGTTACATCTGAGCACAGCGCCTGCACGATTCAGCATTCCTTGACCGATAGGTTTTGCCTTGACCTTGTCATATTATTTCCGGTATGATGGCAGGATGGCTTTCATCAAATTAGGCAGAAAAAATCCTTCCAGATCACTTGGAGCGGAATCCAGACCAACCATATCTTCGATTAGCTCTGATTCTAATCTTCAGGATTACCTTTCTCCCTCTGGATTTCTTGGAGTGGGAGTCGCTTTCCTCCGTGGGAGCATGAAGAATACAGCCCCGCCTAGCCCGTAGGGCTTTCTGGAATCACTCAATACCGAAACGTCCGGCTAATGAAGGTTGTTGTCAACCTCGGTTAGAAACTTAGCAACTACTCTATCGTACTCAGGTAGCCCGTTCCCAGCTCGACGCGGATCTTCTGAGAATTGAGGACACTTGGATGCGGCGGGTTCGAATAATATGACTTCTGAGCGACGTCAAGGATCAGGACGATGACCGCAGCCTGCGCGTAACGATTCGGAATTGAAAAGAAGCGGTGAATTTGGGTTGACTTCCGCTTGGCTTCAGTTCTATGGGCTAATATCTTAGCGCGATTCCGCGCCAACGTACATAATTTCGATTTCGGTTCCGCTCATCTTCATCGCTAAATGGGAAGCGTTCCTGGCTACATTAGCAGCGGTTTGGAATGGGCATTTATTAGGTCTTCAACTGCTGATTATGGCTCAAGCGATGTTACGTCGGGATGGGGGGGGGGAGGGTTTAATCATTCTGGGCTGCAGTAACTCACTCCGTCGGAAAGCTGAGATTTCCCTTCAAAAGCCGGTTTAACCTAGGATAGCCGGAAAGCTTCCAGACTTTAAATTTGAGTCGCGGGATGAGGTGCTAAACGACCACTGAAAATGTGATCATCAGAGGATTCGCCGCTCCATCGCCAATACGGTAACACCGCGAAGAGGATCTTGGCGGCCTAGTCTTAGTGGCCGGTCTTGGTTTTTCTGAATGCGGTACGAGGAGGCTATTAGAAAAAGTTCTCGGTACAGATCACTCCCGGCCGAAGTGTATAGCAGTCGGGGATTCTCCGGTATCCTGCTTGTCCTGTTTTCTACCCCACCACATTCACTTTGCCGCCTCGATTGACGACTGCGAGGCAATAAATTATGCTTTTATGAATGTTCGATGTACCAGAGGTCAAGCCACGAACAGCAATTATATTTGTCCCTACAAATGGACGATCTGGCGACTGATTCCGCGCCTTCGATTTGAAGAAACTGGGGTTGGAGTCGCTGATAGCTCAAAGAGGATTCTACTGAGTATTGTATCATCACCATTATAGCCATTATTGACGTGTAATGGGAACTGGCTCAGAAACTCGCCACGGGCGCCGACTTTTGCCGCGCCGCTTGACCAATTTCTCGATAGGTGCAAAAACCAATCACATTGACGATCGTATGACTGGCCGGCCAACGTCCTCTTCATATGCGTCGAAATTACCCTGCTCAAGAATCCTGATTCGGTCCGCGTTGATCACAGCCACTTCAGCAGCATACGCCACGCTGTTGACCTCCTATTGAATAATGAACACACTCTTGAATGCATACGGCCAACGATCTGATCAGCTACGGGTAAGCCGACAACCAAGACAGTCAGTTTCTTGTCAAGTGTGTCTGTTAGGGAAGAAACGTCCTCTGAAGGGAAGATATCTACTCGACTGGATCAGAATTTGACCCAAAAGGTGAATTTGGCGGCGCCACCCTCCTGACACTGCGCCTTCTGGAACAAAGCTGCTCTCGCCTTATACTCCCAGGCTGCTTAACCGTTGGTCGAAACTTTATAACTACCACAGAATTATTTATTTTTACTTGGCGTAGATGGAAAGAGTACAGTGCAAGAAGCAGATGCTTGAATGCAGCTGCAGAGAGACAAGAAGGACCCTGGACGGTCTGACACGACAGAGCAGGGCCTTTCCGCTATTATTGATTTTTTTCATCTCTACAAGTGATCGAAAGAAATATTTTCGGCAAACAGCCACCGTACAGGATATTCTAAGGAGACTGAGTAAAGCCGATCGAGCACTTCCCTTACCTCCAGAATGAAAATCGTGCACTCAAATGGCAAAACAAATTCTATCCGATCTACTTCGCCCAAGCGAGAATTGAGGGGTACGAATCTTGGAGATCTACTTGCCACGACTTACCCATTAGCCCTTGCAGGGACAGGTTTCCAGAATGCGCTTCATGCTGAGGAGACTTATTACGCTGCTTAACAACTCTTAGAAAAGAGTAAGGCACATAGGGCCTTGCTAACTCTCCTGCTCGAGTATTTTCTCTGTAGAAGCGAATAGACTCAAAATTGATATTGTTCTGAACCTCGGCCTCAAATAAGACCCCAATGAACTAATCTCCATAACTCAAAACACAACGAACAAGAGGAATGCTTACCTGGAACTAGAACATGGAGGTCCTACAGCGCACATCGGTGTTGACGGTGGACAGCAGGCACCACCTCCACCACCGCCTATAAGGAAATGTAAATCAATTCAAGGAGTAAAATGTAATAGAAACTGATAAGACATAATTGGGGGAATTAGCGGGATCACTTGGACCTGAGCCAAGCCTATCAAGCCTGACACTTAAAACTGTGTAAACATTTCAAAAAGCAAATGCTTCGGGTAACACGAGAGGGTCTACTGTACCGTATGCTTCTACAGAAATGTGAAACTTCAAGTCATTTTAGAGTTGAAGCTTAACTTTAGACCCACGAGAGGTCTTGAATAGTCAAGAAATCTATCTACAGTACGATCTACAGCATAGTAATGACGAATAAGTAAGCCATATAAGGAAAAGAAGCCCTGTATAAGTAAAAATGTAAAAAGTAATTGTGTAAAGACCGCACCGAAGCATGCGGCAGCAGGACCGACGGTTAGCAGTACAGACAGAAGAAGACGCATAACCGAGGAGTGCGTTGGCCGATATGCCGCAGGCGCCAGCCTTTTCTAGGCGCCGCCCGGATAGCACCGCCCACAGCTAGGGAACGCGAGAGATGAGAAAACCCGGAGTGACGGTGATGGTGGGTAGAGAGGGGCGTGGGTTGGTTGGACGATGCAATGATGCGCTCGGGTCTACACTAGCTGCACCTAAAGTGCTTGTTATACGTGCTAAGAGTGGGTCACAACGGGCTCATTCCAATGGATTGCACCCCGATTTACCAAACGT